CTATATACCCAATCTCTACAATAAGGTTTGTGCAGCTTCTTCTTTGCAAACTGCAAACTGCACGTACAGGGTTTCTCTCTCTCTCTCTCTCTCTCTCTCTCTCTCTCTCTCTCTCTATATGTATATATATATATATATATATATATATATATGTACACTCAAAATGTATTGTAACTTTGCATGCATGAAACAGGTTCTTAGGTAGAACAGCAGCGGCAGCTACTTAATTAGTATGATGTATTGTTACTTATACATTGCATGCTTGCAGCAGGTTCTTATTGAGAAGATACATATAAAGGTAGATCAGAAGGGGTAGCTTGATATAATAAGAAAGAGATATTGAAGAATGTGGAAGCTTAAGGTTGCAGATGGAGGGAATGACCCTTACATCTACAGCACAAACGACTTTGTGGGGAGGCAGATATTTGAGTTTGATCCTGAGGCAGGAACTCCTGAAGAGCGAGCCGAGGTGGAAGAAGCTCGTCTTAATTTTTACAATAATCGCTATAAGGTTAAGCCTAGTGGTGACCTCATATGGCGTATGCAGGTATTATCCACTTAATTAACTCATAATGTTCTTTTTTTCAAACTTATGTTGTTGTCATATTGTAAACTTAGATCACAAGCTCAATTCAAATTAGATATTAACCAAAAAGTTCAAGCATTTGTTGGGAAAAACCATGATAAAATGATAAAATAGAATTTGTTGCTCAATCAAAAAGTTTTTTGCAACACGAATTAACAATGATAAAATAGAATTTATAATCAGCATCATGAACTTAACTTCTTCTTTTTTTCTTTCTAAAATCACTTTAATCCTCTGTTCACAAACTGGCAGTTCCTACGAGAGAAGAACTTCAAACAGACAATTCCCGAAGTAAAGGTTGAGGATGGCGAAGAAATCACATATGAAAAGGCCACAGCTTCATTGAGAAGGTCTGTCCACTTCTTTTCAGCTTTGCAAGCAAGTGATGGCCATTGGCCTGCTGAAAATGCTGGCCCATTGTTTTTCCTTCCTCCTCTGGTGAGTATATAATTTCTAGTTTCCTTATAATTACAGTTATTTATTAGACTTAAAAATAAATAGTATTTTTTGGAGCTTCTTACTAATTTTCCCTTTTTACTTCCTAAAACAAAAATTGCAGGTCATGTGTGCATACATTACAGGGCATCTTAATACTGTATTCCCAGCAGAGCATCGAAAAGAAATTATGCGTTACATATACTATCATCAGGTACATGCTTTTGGTATAATTGTTCACACAAAAGTGACCAAATTTTATTTTGCAATTGTGGATATTTGTACTGACTAAAGTACTGTATTTATAAAAAATAAAAATAAAAGGCTCATATATATGCATAATTTGGGTTTTAAATTTCAGAATGAAGATGGTGGTTGGGGATTACATATTGAAGGCCACAGCACCATGTTCTGCACAGCTCTGAGCTACATTTGTATGCGCATTCTTGGAGAAGGACCTGATGGAGGCCAAGACAATGCTTGTGCAAGAGCGAGGAAATGGATTCTTGACCATGGTAGTGTTACACACATTCCCTCTTGGGGAAAGACTTGGCTTTCGGTACGTATGGCCTTGTTCTGCAAAACTCTACGTATACATGCTTGTAGTTGTTGAATGAAAGAAATAAATATGAACACTAATTGCGCTATTAGGTTCGATCCAAAAAAAAAATTGCGCTATTAGGCTTCAATTGTTTTGCTTAACCATATATGAAGATGAATTAATGTTGCTTCACTTGTTGCAGATACTTGGTGTTTTTGAGTGGTCTGGTAGCAACCCAATGCCCCCAGAGTTTTGGGTTCTGCCTTCATTTCTTCCTATGCATCCAGGTTAGCACAATTAATCCAAGTATAAGTATTTCCACCTTCCACATGTTGATTGATTTAGTTTTTACTTGTAGTCTTCATTTTTAACCTCTTGTATCTTGAAAATGCAGCAAAAATGTGGTGCTATTGTAGGATGGTTTACATGCCTATGTCATATTTATATGGGAAAAGGTTTGTTGGTCCAATCACACCTCTCATTCTGCAGTTAAGGGAAGAACTTTATGCTCAACCTTACAATGAAATTAATTGGAAGGGAGTTCGCCATCACTGCGCGAAAGTGAGTTAAACTTAGTTAAATGAATTAATCAGTATATGATTCTTGTGTAAGTACAGAACCTGATTACAGTAATTTAATTGCAGGAGGATATCTACTACCCTCACCCTTGGATACAGGACATCATGTGGGATAGTCTCTACATATGTACAGAGCCTCTTCTTAATCGCTGGCCGTTTAACAAGTTGATCAGAGAAAAAGCTCTTCAAGTAACAATGAAGCATATTCATTATGAAGATGAAAACAGCAGATATATTACCATTGGGTGTGTGGAAAAGGTAATATGGATAAGGATACTGATGTATCTTATAGGACTGTGGAGAAAAATATTAGCTTTTCAGATTCTCATCATGGTATTTGCATTACTTGAACAGGTGTTATGTATGCTTGCTTGTTGGGCTGAAGATCCAAATGGAGACTATTTTAAGAAGCATCTTGCTAGGATCCCAGATTATTTATGGGTTGCTGAAGATGGGATGAAGATGCAGGTTGGTATACAAAGCATCCCAAATTATTTATGGACTGTTGTAAACTTCTTTATTATTTTGTATATTCACAAATGCTTTTAATTTTATGGAGTTACTCACCTAGAAGTTGACATATTTATTGTTTGATTGATATACGCAGAGTTTTGGTAGTCAAGAGTGGGATACTGGGTTTGCAATTCAAGCTTTGCTTGCTAGCAATCTCACTGATGAAATTGGACCTACGCTCGCTAGAGGACATGATTTCATCAAGAAATCTCAGGTTCAATTTTAACTAGAGTCAACTAAATTATCAATTTTTTTAAAATGTAAATGTGTAACCATTGATTTGTTCAGACTAATGAATCCTTTGCACTCAAACTGTACAGGTCAAGGACAATCCATCTGGTGACTTCAAAAGCATGTACCGCCATATTTCCAAGGGATCATGGACTTTCTCTGATCAAGACCATGGATGGCAAGTTTCTGATTGCACTGCAGAGGGTTTAAAGGTAACGAATGCTTCAATTGAGATATCCACCCTGTTGGTTATCTCCATGTTTCTCACAATAGCCCTCTCTACAGTGTTGCCTATTGTTCTCGGTGATGCGACCGGATATAGTTGGTGAAAAAATGGAACCTGAGCGATTATATGATTCTATCAATGTCCTACTTTCCCTACAGGTAACAACTAATGTGTCTTCAATTACTCTTATCTTGCACCTCTAGTCATAAATATGAGTTTGAGTAGCATGTGGTTTCCCTGCAGTAAGCAAATTGTGTCTTTTATGTCTACGTATTCAACTCATAAATAAAAAGGCTTTATTTTACGACTCATTGCAGAGTAAAAATGGTGGTTTGGCAGCCTGGGAACCAGCAGGAGCTGCAGATTGGTTAGAAGTAAGCATTTTAAGAAATTGGAGTCAGATTGGTTAGAAGTAAGAAGTTAATGTTCTTGAAATATCCATTAGCAGATACTTACTCTATATTCTCCCTCTCTTTTTCGTTTCCCCAAGATGTTAAATCCCACTGAATTCTTCGAGGACATTGTGGTTGAGCATGAATATGTTGAATGCACTTCATCTGCAATTCAGGCTTTGGTTCTGTTTAAGAAGTTGTACCCTGGGCACAGAAAGAGAGAGATTGATCATTTCATTACCAATGCTACGCAGTACCTTGAAAGTATACAAATGCCAGATGGTTCATGGTATGGAAATTGGGGAGTTTGCTTCACGTATGGTTCCTGGTTTGCCCTTGGAGGGTTAGCAGCTGCCGGCAAGACTTTCAATAATTGTTTAGCCATGCGCAAGGGGGTTAACTTTCTACTCAAAACACAGAGAGAGAATGGTGGTTGGGGAGAGAGCTACCTTTCATGTCCCAAAAAGGTAAAATGAGGGAGGTGGATTATATTTTTAAGCTTCAAGTTTCTTAAGCAATCCTATTGTCCTACATTAAAATATTTGTCTCTGTGGTGGGTGATACAGGAGTACGTTCCGCTTGAAGGAAACCGATCAAATTTAGTACACACTGCATGGGCTATGATGGGTCTGATTCATGCTGGACAGGCACACAGAGACCCTGCACCTCTTCATCGCGCGGTGAAGTTGATTATCAATTCTCAAATGGAAAATGGGGATTTTCCCCAACAGGTATCTTTCTTAGCATAACATGACTTGCATTACAATATGCTTAATTTTTACTTGTAACTTGTTCTAACCATTAATCACTGAACTATGGCAGGAAATCACAGGAGTGTTCATGAAGAACTGCACGCTACATTATGCAGCTTACAGAAATATCTACCCTCTGTGGGCTCTTGCAGAGTACCGCAAGTGGGTCCCATTGCCTTCCAAAGCCTAAATACTGTATTGTGCAGCTCATCCAACTTGAAGGATGCAACATATATATAAGAGCCAATTGTGGAAATTCATTTTTATGAGGCTCAGCTTGATGCCTAGTGAGAATATTGTTGGCGAGTCTTTGTTTGACAAATATCTGTGTATACACAATGTGTCAACAAATCTATGAGAAAGTCAGATTACCTATACAGTTCAATTTTAATTGAAGAAAAATCTATTTGTGCTATATACTAAATTCAGCTTTTCTTAGTCGATGGCTACAATTACAACATTAACGAGCGAGAAAAGACGTGTGAGATGTTCTTAAAATGATCAATTGAAAAGAAGAACAAAGTCGACAACCCTTGGTAACCTTCCAGAAATGCACCAGTCAGTTTAAGGGCCTTTAACCCTGCTAATGACTCTACTTTGGGGCCACAAACCCTTGTTCATTTGGACAACTGCTTTGATGCAGAAGATCCTTGTTGATGTCAAGAATGGTGTATTGGACTCTGTTGACGTGAGTCTCCTAATTAATCAAGGAGATTTATTTCCTTGATTAATTAAGGGACTTAATTTCCCATTCTATTTAGTTGACTAATCTTTGTATAATTAGGAGATACTTTCCTAATTCTTTACTGTATCTCAATCCTTGTAAAGTACTCTGTAAACTCATATATATACCTTCTTATGGAGAAGAATAAAGTTAACCTAATACATTCAAACCCATATTCATATTTTAGCATGGTATCAGAGCAATCGATCCACGGTTGTCTCTAAATCTTCATATCAAAGTTCTTCAAACACAAACCCTAAATTGTCTACCGCGCAGATCTCACGGCCTGGGTTTCCGGGCCGAGGGGATATGCGTTGACACGCGGCTTCCTGCTTTTGGGTGCGGTGCGTTTGTGCGCGGGCGTGCCAGCACGGTCTACCGTGCGTCGAGATGGTTGATGTGGATAGAATCCGAGAGAGGAACTAATCTCGGCTGTTAGGTTCACGGCCTGAGCTACAAGGCCGTTTAGTGATGGTGTTGGTGGTTTTGGGCGGTGCTCCGGCGCGCTGCTCAGGGAGCGACGGTCGTATGATATATGGGGTGAATGAGCGAATAACAAGGATGATGCTCCAGCGCCTTGAAAATCAAGGGTCGTATGATATATTGATGAATGAATCTTCCTTATAGTCTAACACTACTCCTAGGAAAACAAGTAAAGATATTGAAAGTGCATTACAGGAAAATATAAGTTGCTCCGTGGGAGGCTTTGGTTTGGTGTTTGAACCCTTTGAATGTAGCTTGAGCCTCGTATTTATAGGAAGAGTTCTTGGAGAAGTACTCGAGGCTGAAAATCCACATGGTGGAGCCTGATTAGAGCAAGTGGGTAGTCTAATCGACATTTGGGATCGTGAAGTATGGTGGTGTGACCCCATAAATCCTGGTGAATCTCAGCCGCCGCCTTGATCGTGGGCTCTGCGCTTCTAGCCGTGGAGACGCATTTATTGTTCTGATAGCTGGTGACCTAATCTCTCAAGCTGCAAGAATTCTTGTGAGAATGTCCACGTCTAATCACTCTGTTTCCTGTCGCCAAACCCTGACTTCAGTCACTTCCCACATTCCCTCATGCATTAAATGCTTATTCGTGGCCAGTGGGTTTGCTGTAATAAACAGAGGCATTACTTCATTAAATGAAGCATAGGACCCTGATATCACGTGATGATTTGATTCTGATATCTCTGGCCATGATTTTGCTCGGCCTCGGCCTCGGCTTACAATCGAGGCCGAGATGATCATGCCTTGGCAACTTTTCTTTTGTTTTTCAGGAGCGAAACGCTGCGCTTTAGCTTCTCGAGGAAGTGCTTGGGCCGAGAAAAGGGGATCCTTCGGCCAGTTCATGGCCGTGATTTATTAGGCACAAATATAAATCCTCATATCAAATTTCTTCCAACACAAAAGCCTAAATCAAATTCCTCATATTTAAAGATTCAGATTCAGATCTTCATACCCAAATCCTCATATCCTCTTATCACAAAACCCTAAACACATCAGTTTTCTCTTATTCTTAAATCCTTCCGCTGCCATGGATATCGTTTCCACAACCACCGACTCCACTTCCTCATCCCCCCAAATTGTTACTATTCAAGGCGACAACGCTCCGTTTCCTACCAGCATCATCTTGACCGAGACCAATTATGCCTTATGGTCTCAAGTCATGGAGTTACGTATTGCTGGCCGCGAAAAACTGGGGTACCTCACCAACGAAACTCCGCAACCCTCTAAGCTCTCCTCCACTTACAGGAAATGGTGTACGGAGAACTTTCGGCTTAAGGGGTGGCTCATCGACTCCATGTCTCCAAACTTGATGGGTCGGTTCATCCGTCTTAGTATAGCCAAAGAAATCTAGGATGCCATGAAGAAAACCTACTTTGATGGTGGGGATGAAACTTTCCTTTTTGATCTCAACAAACGGGCGTTCACCATAAAACAGAATGGTGCTCCTGTCCACAAATACTAAAGCCAGCTGCAAACCATCTTTAAGGAGATTGATCATCGCACTCCGAATCGCATGCATTGCGACGCCGACGTGACTGAGCGCCAGACTGAATTGGATCGTCTTCGTGTTCACCTTTTTCTTGTCGGGCTCGATCCTCAGTTTGATCAAGTCCGGGGGGAAATCCTACGCAAAGATCCCAAATTAGATCTTGACCAAACCTTTGCATATGTACGTCACGAAGCTCAACAACGACTGACCATGGCCAGTACTCCAGACACTGCGCTCCTGGCCACCCAACGTCCGCGGGGCCCTCCGCCCTCTACCGGTGGTGCTTCTCAAACTCAGGCCACAAGCTCTCGTCCGGAGCAGAAATGCACTCATTGTGGTGGAAGCAAACATACCTGTGCTGGCTGTTACGAACTGATTGGGTACCCGGATTGGTGGGATCACTCCAAAGCTCCTCGCAAGAACAGGAGCAAATCACTCCACACATCATCCGTCGCGGATCCTGTAAGTCCTGCTGCTCCAACTGCACCGGCTCCTGCCTCTGCCTCTGTAGCCACAACAGGTACCCAAGGTTATGTTTTGCATAGTTCCTCAAAGAAACACACATGGGTCATTGACACTGGAGCCACTGATCACATGACCTTTGATCCGGGACAAATTACCCCTCATACACCACCTTCTCAATCAATGGTGTCTAATGCTAATGGTACCCCATCTCCAGTAATTGGGGAGGGTTTCCTCTCTCTCTCTCTGACTCCCTCACCTTAGATTATGTGTTGATTATTCCTTCCTTACATCATAATCTCTTGTCTGTTGCCCAAATTACTACGGCTTTGAATTGCACTGTAACCTTTTGGCCTACTCATTGTGTTTTTTAGGACATTCTGAGCAGCAAGACAATTGGTTGTGGTACTAGGAGGGGCAAACTCTATTATTTGGACCTGGCATCTGACAGTGAAGCCCGTCTCAGTCAAGCTTACAAAATTGGGGGTACGATTGTTGAAACGCAAACTTCCGAAGTATGGTTATGGCATCGCCGTCTTGGACATGCTTCATTTGGATATTTACAGAAGCTATTTCCTTCCTGATTTTCCAATTTAGATAGTTCTGGTTTTAAGTGTGATATTTGTGAACTGGCCAAGAGCCATCGTGTTCCCTTTCCCTTAAGTTCAAATAAAAGTTTGATTTCTTTTTCCCTTGTTCATTTTGATGTTTGGGGCCCTGCTAAAATTACCACTCCCAGGGGAGCTAGATGGTTTGTTACGTTTATTGATGATTGCACACGCATGACCTGGGTTTCCCTTCTCAAAACAAAAGGGGAAGTCAATTCCAAATTTCAACAGTTCTATCACATGGTGGAGACTGATCGGTTCATAATTGTATATCATTTTGTACCCTTCTAGCTTATGATTTGGTTATGTTTTTGAGTTAAACTTGTGCTTTTAATCCTTTTTGTGTTTATCTTTCAGTTCATTGAGCTTTAGGTAATAATGATGGCTTTAGAGAGCATAATTCATGCAATCCATGCATGTTAGGGCCTAATTTGGATGAATGGATGAAGAGCTTAAAGACAAACTCAATTTTGGCTACAGTCCCCTGCCAGCCCAGTT